GTATATCTATATAGCTAACTTACCTATAAAGTGACTACATAAAAGTATACTGATACAAACATATTCTAAGTATAATATATGATAGTATAATGACATCCCGATCATATATATAGTACTACGAGTAAATTAGTAAGTACATATGGCATAGAAGTAAGAGAGGTACAGACTAACTTTTGATACAGTATAGTTCGATAGTAATATTACGTAATATATATATAGTAAATAGCGTAATATAGTACTATATTTATAAAATGTATTTAGATAATAGTATGATATATGAGAACAGTGAGTTCATGAGAGAGAAGAGATGAAGCCAATAGGATAGGAGAGAGGCAGGTAATGATATAGAGAAGACTGACAGTAGTAAAGCGATATAGTAGTCAAATGAGTAAGTAATATTGAAGCAAAGGCAAGAGAGAGAGAGGCAGAGAGAGGGGCTATATATGGGTAATAATAGAGAGTACATAGTGATATATATATATATATATACTAGGTCAATATATAGTAGTAGATATATGATATTGATATATGGTATATATATAAATATATAAATTTATAATAATATATATACGTTATATAGTACATATATAAATAGTATAATAGTATATAATATATATATATATGAGTATTAGTATACAGAATATGATATAGTAATAATATATGTATGTATTGAAACTATAGTACTATAATGAATATAGTAAAGGTACTAATATATGAAGTAGTAAGATATATAAGTATAGAAGTTATATAGAGATTTATATATATGTATAGTAGTATACCACTATAATTATAAGATGAGATATATATAGTATATAGAGATAGTAATACTATAGGCAAACAGCATATATATGAGCATGAAGAGTGATAATAGGACATAGAGTAATAGAGATGATAGTCTATGTATTGATATATTTTATTGTATGTGAGATATATTAAGAAGACGAATGATATATTAGTGCAGAGGAGAGAGTAAGTAGGCAGATGATATATATATACTATAGCATAGAGATAATAGTAGTAATCTAATATGTATGAATATACGTGAATAAAAGCTCGAGAGAGACGCAGAGAGAAGAGTGAGAAAGGCGACTGAGAAGAGAGAGCAGCGCCAGAGAAGAGAGAGGCAGAGACGAGAGAGGCAAGAGGACGAGGCCAAATATATGCAACTACACACACACACCACACACGACACACACACACACACGCCACACACCAGCGACACCACACACACGACATACCAAACATGGTTATTTACTAGTATATGTAATATAGTATGCAATACTGATAGACGGCGTAAATTAGAAGATAATAGGTAATATAAATATATGGTATAAGTAAGTGATCATACTGAGCTAATATGAGAGATATATATATAATGGTGTACAGATAATATATATATATATGGTATATATAATATAGCATAGTGATAAATGTGAGATGTAATGGTGATAGAATATAGTGGAGTATATATAGTATATTACATAGGTTGCATTAAGGAGGTATACATATATTTAAGAATATATGGATATAATAGTAGTAGTGACATAGTAATAGAGAGAGAGGCAGATAGAGATGAGAGAGTGGACAGATATTAGTAGTGAAATTAGAGAGGAGGCAGCGAGATAGGAGAGGAGAAAGGAGAGAGGAGAGAGCGCAGAGAGAGGTCGGAGAGGAGGTGAGCAGTGGTTAAGAGTAGGTTGGCAGCGGCGGAGTAGGCGAGTGAGTGATATAGGACTGAGGCGGGGGGTGGATGGAGGTGAGGGCGGGTAGGAGGAGTGAGTGGAGGGAGGGAGGGAGGGGTTGGGAGGTGAGAGGGGGGCAGTGATCATGAGGTTTGTTAGAGGAGCGCGGAGGAGGGAGGTGAGGAAGTAGAGCGAGGAGACAGGGGGCAGGTGAAGAGTAGGGAGGGAGGACACGTTGAAGCGAGCGAGCGAAGGCGAGCAGCAGGACACGACGCAAGCAGCGAGGGTATCATGAGCGCGAGCACACCCCGACACACGGGGGGAGCTGGGGGCGGCGCGGGTGGGGCGCTGGGCGCGCAGGGCTGGCGAGAACGCGAAGAACGGGGGGCGCGGGCGGGGCGGGGGAGGGGGGGGCAGGGGGGGCGAGGGGAGGGGGAGTTGAGTGTGGAGGGATAGGGTGATGTAAGGGGGTATGGGGTATGGAAGGGGTAGCGGGGTGATTAAGTATGTTAAGGATGGCCGGGGTAGGGGTAGTAGGTAGGGGGGGTAGGGAGGTGAGGTGAGTAGTAGGTGGAGTAGTAGGTGAGTATAGAGGTATGTGTAGTGAGTGAGTAGTGTGAAGGATCAGGATAGTGGGCGGCGTGGGGGGGGAGAGGGGGGGTGAGGTGGGGGAGGGCGGGGATGGGGGGGGATCGGCGCCGGAGAGGAGCGATGAAGGTGCAGTGAGGGGCGGGTGGGGGGGGGCGGCGAGACAGTGTGCTAAGCAACTGGGAGGGTCTTAGGGGGGGGGGGGGGACGATGGGGGGGGAGGGTGAGGGGGAGGGGAGAAAGGAGAACGAGAGAAAGGCGGAGACGGAGAGAAGAGGAGAGAGAGTAGAGACGAGAGAGAGAGGATGCAAGGGAGCGAGCGAGGAAGAGGGAAGGGCAGGAGGGAGGGTCAGTGAGGGCGGCGGCGCGGCGGCGGTGGCGGAGCGGCGGAGAGAAGAGAAGAGAAGAGAGGAGAGAGAAGAGAGAGAGAGAAAAAAGCGGAGGAGAACGGAGGAGAGAAGAGAGAGGGAGGAGAGGCGGAGGGAGGGAGGGCGGGCGGCGGGAGCGGCAGGGGACGGGCGGGAGGGATAGGGCAGGTAGGGAGGAGCGAGAGCAAGAGAGAGGAGTGAAGAGATGAAGATGAGAGAGAGAGGGAGAGAGAGGAGGAAGAGAGAGAGAAGAGAGGAGGAAAGAGAGGAAGGAGGGAGAGAGAGAGAGAGAGAGCAGAGGAAAAGAGTCAGAGAGAGAAGAGGAGATGGAGGAGAGGAAGGGTAGGAGAGAGAGAGAGAAAGAGAGGAGGGAGAGAAGAGAGAGAGAGAGAAGAGAGAGAGAGGAGAGGAGGAGGCAGAAGGGAGAGAGAGAGAAAAGGAGAGGAAGCAGGCATTGTGAGAGAGGAGAGAAGAGAGAGAGATAGAGGGAGAGGGTAGAGATGATAGATAGATAGATAGAATAGATAGATAGATACGATAGAAGAGAGAGGAGAGGAAAGAGAGAGAGAGAGAGAGAGAGAGAGAGAGAGAGAGAGAGCAGGGAGAGGGAGAAGGAGAAGAAGAGCGAGAAGGAGACGGAGATGAGTGAAGAGAGAGAGAGAGGAGAGGGAGAGTGAGAGAGAGAGAGAGAGAGAGAGGGAAAGAGAGAGAGAGAAAGACGCAGATTAGGAGATTCCCTTTGAAAACGCCTTTCCTCTCCCGCAGCCGCAAATCCTTGCGAGAAGACTTACCGCAGTCGCTCTCGTCCGACTTGTCGAAGCAGTCGACGAAGTGGCTCCGCACCAGAACCTTTCCTCCAGGCACTGTCCCGCGGCGCACTGCATCTTCCCCGGGCCGCACACGTGCTCCTCTGTTTGTGTGTGTGTGGGGGAGGGGGAGGGGTAGGGTGTCAATATGCAGAGGGTGCGTGTCCTTCATGAAATACTAGGCCTTTGAAGTATAGTTTTGGTAATGAAATTCTTTGAAGGAATGTTAAAAAGAACACTTTTGTTATTGCTGCTTCCTCTTTCAACAAACCAAAAATTTCCCGAGGCCAAAAATTTCCCGAAGCAGATTTGCAAAAGTTGCCAGACCTAGAAAAGCAACGCTGCAGTTTTATATCATTCGCACATATTTACTTATCTTTATTTCTCGATTTCCCTTCTTGTGCTTTCCCTGCGCATGAATGGAAGAACAGTCCATGAATAACACTCTTGACTGAAGACAAGAATCACTCGTATGAAAAGCACAGAACAACGGTGCGCTGAGATCAAAGCTGGCGGAACGGAGCCTAGCGGGCGAATGCGGCATACTGCAAACGTGCATGCAATTAATCATTAATGTTAGATGCAGCAGATACAAAAGCATTTAGTGATATTTTATGGATAGCAACGGACATAGTGATTTGCCCATTTAACAGCTTTAGTATATTTTAATTCAAACTAAATTAAGTTTTCCTCTCTATCTTTTTTCCCTCTGCTTCTGTCTGTCTGTCTCTCCTCCTTACCTCCCTCCTTCCCCCCCTCATTCTCTCTTTCTCCACCCCCTCTATCTATCCATCTATATGCATATATATATAAATAAATATATATAGAATGATATATATATAGTATAATATATATTTATATAATTATATATATATATATCCTTTCCTCCCTGTCTTCTCCCCTTTCTCTCTCTCCCTCTCTCCTCTTTCACTCATTGATAGTTGCTTATCAGGAAATCGCATTTTCGGGGTTAATGGATTGTGCAAATGACAGTGCATAAATATGCACCCATATATAACTTACATGAATCGGCCGTGGCCATTATGAAAAGGGCGGCCCTATAACGGTCCATCAATTTTGGAAATGTAGCTGTTTGTTTATTCAGTAATATGTTGCATATCATTTACTACTGTACTGTAGGGAATGTAGTATGTAATGTGAGTCTGCATCTGAATTACGATAATAATAACAATGTCAAAGCAATCACTGTTAGATGTCACAGATACTGGTATGTTTAGGCATAAGTGTTTCGATCATGAAATGATCATTGCGAACATTGTTACTGTTGGTATGATTATTTTGAAATTATTAACATCACAATCATTATACTTGTTATCTTTATTATGATTATTATCAATATCTTTACTATTACCATTGTTATTACTATTATCATTAATATTGCAATTATACTTCTCATCATCATTATCATCCTCTTCATCATTACTACTACTACTACTACTATTGTTATCATTATTATTATTTTTTTTTAACTTTCGTCATTATGATATTCTTATTGCTAGTATTAGAACCATTATCGTTATTATTATTATCGTTAG